TGGAATCATAAAGAAAGAAGAAGAAGAAAAGAGATTGGATTTATACCCCGCCCTTCACTTGGAGTCTCAGAGGGGCTTACAAACTCCTTTCCCTTCCCCTCCCCACAACAGACACCCTGTGAGGTGGGTGGGGCTGATAGAACTCTGACACAAACTGCTCTTTTTCAAGGACAGCTGTGCCCACTCTATGGCTTGCCCAAGGTCATCCAGCAGGCGCAAGTGGAGGAGTGGGGAATCAAACCCGGTTCTCCCAGATTAGAGTCCGCGCTCTTAACCACTACACCAAACTGGCTCTCAGATATCCCAAAATATCCTTCTACATAGATTCAGGTGGGTAGCCATGTTGGTCTGAAGCAATAGAACAAAGTTTTGAGTCCAGTGGCACCTTTAAGTCCAACAAAGTTTTATTCTGGGTATAAGCTTTTGTGTGCAGGCAGCCAGTTTGGTGTAGTGGTTAAGTGCGCGGACTCAAATCTGGGAGAACCAGGTTTGATTCCCCACTCCTCCACTTGCACCTGCTGATGTGACCTTGGGTCAGTCACAAGCTCTGGCACAGCTGTCCCTGAAAGAGCAGTTTGTGTCAGAGTTCTTTCAGCCCCACCCACCTCACAGGGTGTCTGTTGTGGGGAGGGGAAGGGAAAGGAGTTTGTAAGCCACTCTGAGACTCCAAGCGAAGGGCGGGGTATAAATCCAATCTCCTCCTCCTCCCTCCTCTTCTTCAGACATGTGGCCACTATGGAAAAACTTGGCAACAGAACAAGAAACATGAGCCATATCTCTGAACTGTAAGAGTGGTTGAGCAGTGAAACAGTCCACCTCAGGAGGTGGTGGATGCTCCTTCGCTGGACGTTTTCAAGCGGAGGCTGGACGACCATCTTTCGGGTATGTTGTAGGGCTATCTTTCGGCTATGCTCCTGCAGAGTGCAGGGCGTTGGACTAGGTGACCTGCAAGGTCCCTTCCAACTCTAACATTCTATGATTCTAAGTGTGCCTGCACATGAAAGCTTATACCCAGACCTAAACTTTGCTGGTCTTAAAGGTGCCACTGGACTCAAACTTTACCCTTCTGTATATCAGTGGTAGAGGAAGGGGCAACAACAGGACAGGAGGTGGCTTTGGCCAACGAGATGCCCAGGGAAGTCCGACAAGCAGGCCACAGAAGCCACTGCGTGAAAGAGGATGCTGGATTAGATAGTCTGATCCAGCAAATCTGCACGTATGGAAACCACTCTCATCTTCACCGGGATCCTACAGAAGGCTCCATAGCCAAGCGGCACACTCAGCTACCTGTAATGGCTTTACAGAGATGCCACAGAAAGAACGGCTCCTTTCTCCAAACCCAGCAACTCACCTGCTCTTTCGCCCTTCAGGGTGTCCCAAACGTTGCAGTTGAAGTCATCGTAACCGGCCAACAAGAGGCGTCCGCTCTTGGAGAAGGCGACTGATGTGATCCCGCAGATGATGTTGTCGTGGGAATACATCATGAGCTCCTGGTCTGCTCGCAGGTCAAACAGCCGACAGGTGGCATCGTCCGAGCCAGTGGCAAACGCGTGGCCATTGGGGAAGAACTGGGCAACAAAAGAAGAAACGTGAGCTGCTAGAATGTGGAAGCTCACATTTCTACCTGAACATTCCAACACAGAAGACTGCTATTTGATTGTATTCATAACTACGGCGGCCAGAATACTCTATGCAAAATACTGGAAACTAGTGGAGATACCAACAAAGCGAGAATTTATAAATAAAGTTCTAGAGGCTGCGGAACTGGATAAATTGACTTTATCGATAAAAGGTGCAACGGAATTGACATTTCAGAATACTTGGACACGGTTTTATAACTGGTATGATAAGCAAATGTAGGCAAATCGTTAGGGACAGACTACTGATTTACTAAATGTAGAATACCCTGTTTTCTCGAAAATAAGACCTACCCCCAAAATAAGCCCTAGCAGGATTTCTATGCATTTGTGGTATAAGCCCTAGTGTGTCTTCTTGAGAAAAAATAAATATAAGACAGTGTCTTATTTTCGGGAAAACACGGTATATATGCTTTATGAAGCTAGAGATAGAAGGTTACTTACACAGGACACAAGAAACAGATAGTAACGCGGATTAGGCACTATTATTAACACTTGTTAAAAAGTGGGGGGGGGGACCCCATGTATATGTATGTATGTTAGTGTATGTTTTGTATGTTTGTATATTATATGTGAAAAATTTTAATAAAATCCTGCCTCTTTGGGGGCAGTTGAAAAAGGAGAAGAAAGAAATGTGAGCTGCAGACTAAGCAAAGCGGGGAATGGGGGGGGCAGGGGGAGATACAGATGGTGAGAGGAGAACACTCGGCGGTTATCTTCAAAATGGCAGCTTCTTTTACAGAATTCAGAGTAGATAATAATAGTTTTCTTTTTCAACGCTGACACGCCAACAGCACTTTACACGGTATGCCCAAATGAGTTTAAAATTATAATTAAGTGCTGTCAAGTCACCGCTAACTTATGGCAACACCCTCGTGGGGTTTTCACGGCAAGACACAAACAGAGGTGGGTTCGCCACAGTCTTCCTCTGCATAGCAACCCTGGACTTCCTGGGTGGTCTCCCACCCAAGGACTGACCGTAACAGCACTTTACACGGTATGCCCAAATGAGAGTTTAAAATTATAATTAAGTGCTGTCAAGTCACCGCTAACTTATGGCAACACCCTCGTGGGGTTTTCACGGCAAGACACAAACAGAGGTGGGTTCGCCACAGTCTTCCTCTGCATAGCAACCCTGGACTTCCTGGGTGGTCTCCCACCCAAGGACTGACCGTGGCCAACCCTGCTTCGCTGGTCAGCTCTGACGCGCTCAGGTGAGTCTGGGCCAAAGTAGGTTCGATTTATAGTTATTATAGTTAACACAATATGCGAAGTCTTTGAACTTGTCACCCCCCCTGCAAAAAACGTCAGGGAAACTATTTTTCTTAGACTGAAGCCATTTCTGTCTCTGCGTTTTGACTTTCTGCGGTTCCACAACAACAACAGTAGCAATTTAATTAGGTCCTATGAGAAACCCCGGGTCTGACTGAGCTAGGGGATCTGGCAAAATAGGAAGACCGGAGCAGCGCCAGACCAGGGCTCCCTCTAAGCGGTGGAGTCGTGTGAGCAAAAATGCCACTTTGTGAGCTACGGGCATTAAAGTTGTGAGTGAGCGATTTGGTTCCTGCATCAGTTTGCTCTGGAGCCATCCCTTCCTGAGCTGAGACAAAAAATGTGGGAGCCGGAGGCTAAAAAAACCTGCTCACACTGACTGCTCCAGACCTCCCCCTGCTTCACTCGCGCTTCCTCCCAGCAAATCCCACCCACAAGTCTGTGAGAGGTTTTCCTTCCTCCCAGCGAAAAAGGACTTGTTTGTTTCTCTGCACAGCAGCTAACCGGCCAACGTCCTCTGGCTGGTGGGGTTACCAACCTCCAGGTGTGACCTGGAGTTCTCCCAGAATTACCGTTGATCTCCAGACCACAGAGATCAGCTCCCCCTGGAGAAACGGGCAGCTTCAGAGGGTGGACTCTCTGGCACTGCGCCCTTGCTAAGCCTCCTCCTGTCCCCAGGTACCGTTCCCCAAATCTTCAGGGATTTCCAGAGCCAGAGCTGGCAGCTCCAGCTGCTGACCCCATCTGAGGGTTGCTGGGTTTCAAAGCATCGTGGGCACTCCACGGACATCTAGGAGTCTACGTGTGTTATCTGTGTGGGGCGGGGTCGTTAGACTCCACACCCTCCCCCTCTGCGTGTGCCGAGGAGCAAAGCCGGCCACTTACACACACTGCGTTGATGTCGGACACGTGCCCCGTGAAAGACTGCCGGCACATTCCGTCTCGGATATCCCAAAGCTTGGAGGAAGCATCGCAGGCCCCCGAAACGAAAGTGCTCATGTCTGGACTTAGCGAAAGACTCATGACGTCGCCGGTATGGCCAGTAAAAGCGGTTGTCTGCTGGCCGGTTTCGATGTCCCACAGAGCGCTGCGAGAGAGAAAAGAGGTAGAAGAAAAAGGGTCGCACGCAGCAGAGCAAAACGTCGCCGCGCTCACGAAAAGCAACCCCGCAGCCCTCCCGGGGCGAACTCACCAGGTGGTGTCGCCTGAACTTGTGACTATCTGATTGTCATCCAGGAAGCGACAACACGACAAGTACCCTGAAACGGAATACAGAAAGCGGCTAAGTACAGAAACTGCCCGTCGGGAAACACAATCCCACTCCCGCCCCCCAAAAAAGTCCCACATTCCAACACAGATCTGTGCAGGACTATTTGAGTTGTTCTGCAGCTGAAAATAAAATGCAGAATTCAGTAAGTTCTAGTTGTCATTCAAATGCATGACCCCCTTATGGCGGCAAAGGCAACCTTGAAAGCAGGTGGCAACGTAAGAAGAGCCCTGCTGGATAAGACTGAAGGTCCACCTGGTCCAGCATTCTGTTCAGACAGGGGCCGACCAGCTACCTCTAGGGAGTCCCACAAACAGGAAGCCCGCAACAGCATCATCCTGCCTGTGGTCCCCCGCAACTGAGGCCTACGACCTCTGGTACTACCGGAGGCCATTCCAGAAGCCAGAGGTGAGGCTGAGCAGACAAGAATTCAGTAAGTTCTAGTTGTCATTCACTGCGTTGCTTTAGATCAAATGCACGACCCCCTTATGGCGGCAAAGGCAAGCTTGAAAGCAGGTGGCAACGTAAGAAGAGCCCTGCTGGATAAGACTGAAGGTCCACCTGGTCCAGCATTCTGTTCAGACAGGGGCCGACCGGCTACCTCTAGGGAGTCCCACAAACAGGATGCCCGCAACAGCATCGTCCTGCCTGTGGTCCCCGGCAACTGAGGCCTACGACCTCTGGTACTACCGGAGGCCATTCCAGAAGCCAGAGGTGAGGCTGAGCAGACAGGTCAGGCATTTCAGGCCAAAGTGGCCCCTGGGCCACATTCCCGATTCACGTTAGAAGAGGCAATTCCAGGGAGCTTCGTTTTCTGCAGTTTCCGCAACCTGGTCACGGTACTGCCTGTCGTTTTAAAGACGGCGGCCAGCCAATCATTTCAAAAATAAAACGCAAAACTAAACGCCAGGACAGACAAAAGGAAATACAACTTTACTCAGAGAGTGATGGGAATGTGGCATTCCCTGCCAGAGGATGTAGTGATGGCCACTGGAATAAACAGCTTTAAAAAGGGGATTAGACAGATTCATGGAGGATCAGTGGTTACTAGCCATGGTGACTCCATGTTCAGAGGCAGTCAACCTCTGAATCCCAGTGCCAGGAAGCAATATTACTGTGTGAGACAGGATGCTGGACTAGATGGATTTATGGGTCTGACCTAGCATGGCTCTTCTTATGTCCTTACGTCTTCAACCCAGAAATAAAGCTAAACCCACATGGTGTAGATTAGGTAACTGTGGCCACTGAAAAACTTGAGCAGCTTTTAAAAACATGAGAGAAGCCACACACATTTAACAGGGAAGCAAAGTGATCATGGCTAAGCACATACGTTGGAAAAGCCAGTTTCCTGCAGCAGAAACTAGCAAACACTTAAAACCTACATTTATACCCCACAAAAATACTTTCAAAGGGGCATATGATCACTGCAGGGGGGGGATTTGACGCAACACTTAAATGTGACCACAAATATCCAGAACAAGTGTGAAACAGCAAAACAGTTAAGCCGAAATAATGTCACTGGGAAAGACAGAGGCCAAGTAGCAAAAAAAAAGTCCTGGAAAAATAAAACAAAACCCGTCAGCGTTGCCGCAAGACAACTGCAGGGAAGAGGGCAGGCAGTCAACCCACTGCAAGGCATCCCAGAGAAGACCCTGCTTCTTGGAAAGACCAGAGTGGGACCTGAAGACAGAGCTCTACAATTCATCTGCAAAAAGTGTCCGGTCTCTCTTTTTAAGGAGGGAAGGGATGGGGATTCTGGTGCCTACGCAAATCCTTGCAACCTCCTCATCATCAACAGGAACCAAATGATGCAAAATCAACACATGCACATTTGTTTATTTTGTTAGCCTTATATCCCGCCCTCCCCACAATGTAGGCTCAGGGCAGGTACCAACAGATATGCCTACAATAACGCAGATCTGCAGTTAAAACAGTTCATAATTGACAGTTGAGATCTGCAATTAAAGTAGATTTACAATGAAACAAATAAAGACACATTATAACAATCCATTTAAAACCGATAAGAGCACCACAGACTGAAACAATAACGGATAATATTGTGAACCCACCCGGTCTCTGGGAACTGCGGTCACTGGACGGGAGGGCCAGATCAAATGGATGTCCACTGCCTCAACGAAAGGACTGGCGGAAGAGCTCCGTCCTAGGGCCCCGCTCTCATACAGTAGCTTGATCCACCAGGCAGCGGCCAGGGCCGAAAAAGCCCTGGCCCTAGTTGAGGCAAGTCGGGCATCCTAGAGCCAGGGACTACCAGGAGGTGTTGGTTCGTAGAATGTAATGTTTTACAGGGCTCATAAAGAGAGAGGCAGTCTCGAAGATATGCAGACCCCTACAGGGCTTTAAAGGTAAGCACCAACACCTTGAAATGGATCCGGAATTTAATAGGCAGCCAGTGCTGGTCATGCAGCACCAGGCAGATATGTGCCCACACAGGCAGCGACATCAACACCCACGCCGCTGCGTTCTGCACTAGCTGCAACTTCTGGAGCAGAGCCATAGAAAGCCCCGAGTAGAGAATTACAGTAATCTAATCTGGAAGTGACCACTGCATGGGTCACTGCAGCCAGATCGCGGGGGGTGAGATATGGGGACAACTGCCTGATCTGCCTCAGATGAAAAAAAGGCAGACCTGACAGTGGCGGTGACCCGGGCCTCCATAGTCAAACCCCCAGGGCTGAATAGGGACACAGGATTCTTGTCTCACTACAGGTGCTAATCTTCTGCCCTCAAGCATTTCCCCTCTGCTCTGATCAAGCTGATTACAACAGGCCTGGTACCTCTGCAACCTCACTTCCTTCTTTACAGCAACCCTGACTGGGACATAAAGACTCAGAGATCTCCATTCCTACTAGTATTATTTACTTAAGGTTTAGCACCTTATAATGTTGGGTTGTTTTTATATGGCTTTAGGATTGCTTAAGTTGCAGAGATCTCCATTCCTACTAGTATTATTAGCACCTTATAATGTTGGGTTGTTTTCATATGGCTTTAAGATTGTTTAAGTAGCTTGCTTGTGTGTTTTTATTCTTTTATGTAAGCCGCCCTGAGCCGGCTTCAGCTGGGAGGGCGGGGTATAGATCTGATAAATAAATAAAAGCTGATAAGGGGAATTTGGGCTCTCAAAAGCTTTTAACACACACACTCCCAATCTTGTTAATCTGCAAGGTGCTACTGGGCTTGAATCCAACTGCTCCACTGCAGATCAACACGGCTCCCCTCTTAAATTATATCCAAGCTATTTGCTTAATTCATTCGGCCTGCAGAATTGCCTTACTCCGCCCTGAGGAGCAAAAAAAATATATACTAACATACAGGAGGCCTCAGATCAAAGGCCTGCTGAGCCAGAGATCTTACTAGTAAGACATTATGGCAGCTCTTCAAATACAACCGCGGGGGCTAGAAACAAGTCTGAGATGGAATCTGACTGTTAATTCGGTTAGAACAAATTCTGCACCGTCCTCCGTTTGCTACGGCTTGATCCCCTTGCGCTTACGACATTAGGCATGGTTCAGTCAGTCAAAACAGACCCCAGAGATACAAAATGGAAGCTGACCGGTGTGGCCGGGTAGCTCTCTGCTCACTCGAACGTTGCCCTCTCTCGTCTTCAGGTTGTAGATGGAGCAGATGTTGTCCAGTCCACCACAGGCAACGTAATTTCCCGACGGTGCATAGGCACAGGTCATAACCCAGGAAGATCTCAAAGGAATGGCATGCATCTTTTGGAGGGGGGGAAGAGGAGAGAAACACCATCAGAGAGAGACTTCCCCAACACAATGACGCAGGACAGCACAACCACTAGTGCAACAGGTCCACCATGTGCACCCCGTTTTGAGAACGCTACTGATTTTTAAAAGGCACTTGGGGATTCTCGATACTAAGGAGCCACTGCGGTGTTGAAATCTTTGCTAAATCTTTGTTATGCAATTCGCACAATGACCCACAGGGGCGCACAAACGCAACAAGCCACTTGAAGAATGAGCCCGAGCTCCTGAACTCTCCCGTTCCCTCCTCCTCTCACGTGCTGTTGGCAAGTGAATTATTTCTCTTTTTACAGCAAACCACGGTTTGCCATGACATCTGAACTGGCAAACTGTGGCTTATGCTTCGTGTACAAACTAGAATTCCCAACAGGGGTTCAGTTCCAGTTTGGCATCCTGCTTTCCAGGTTAACTAAAAGAGATTATTTATTCACTTAATTTCTCCCCACTGTGTTCTCCCCAGTGTGAACCCATTAGCAGCTTGCAGAATTCTCCTCTCTTCCATTTTATCCTCACAACAGCCCTATGAGGCCGGTTAGGGTGTGCATGACTGGTCCAAGGTCACCCAGCAAGCTTCCATGGCAGAGCGAGGATTCGAACCTGGGTCTCCCAGATCCTAATCCAACACTTTATCCCACTACATGACACCACAAGTAACGTAGAAAACCACCCATGAGGAGAGAAGGCAGTGACTGAGCCAGAGGGTCCCTCAAACATATTCACAAAGCAGGAAACTACAGTTTTCTGTTACATCAGAGCTCGACCAACACCTCCTCCATTTCCTGTAAGTTTCCAACATCTCCAGTAGAACAAATGATTCCTGATACTGCCTTACCATTAAAAGGCGAACCTGTTATTATTATTATTATTATTATTATTATTACCAAGAAGAATGAGGAGGAGGAGGAGGAGGTTTCTGAATCACCCATCCCTGCTACCACAGGGCTCTGGGCGATGTACAACAATGAATTAAAATGTCACTATAAAAATAAAATACATTAATACCAGTAGATAAATTAAAACTCCAGATGGCGAACTAAATCCCCCAAAAACTGGAAAAAGGGGGGGGGGGACTCAACCCAGGATATGACTACGAACCCCCCTCTATTTTTCTTTGAATAATTCCCCCCCCCTCTATTTTTCTCTATTTTCTAATTTCAGGAAACAACATCTGGTTAAATTATATGTGTACTAAAACTCTGTAACAGATCTTTGAATGTGTGTCTAGAATATATAGATAATAGTGACCACCGAGGAAGGCCCTTAGGGGCCGAAACGCGTTTGGTCTTCAGTTGTAAAGTATTTACCCATCATATGTATGTATAGAGGATAAGCTTTTATAGTCTGATCTTAGACAAAGTAATTTTTAATCAGGAAAACTTTAACATGTGTACACCTTAACAAATATCTGTACTTTTATATATATGGTTTAGCTTAGCCCTTTTTGGTTCGTCGTGGAACTAAATCCCCCCCATTCCAGACTGTTCGGCCACCTCGTGAGCGGGTGGGGGGGGCAAAATTATCTGGAGAGCACAAAAAGGGTGCCAGCTAGAGTGGAAACCGTTGCTGTCCTCAGCCAAAAGAGTGGTGGAACATCTCCACCTTACAGGCCCTGCGGAATTGCATGACACCCCGCAGGTCCCTGGTGGTGTTTGGCAGAAGTGTTCCACCAGATTGGGGCCAGGGCTGAACACATGCTAGTGGAGGAAACCACAGGGAACTCAGCTTCTGATTTTCAATGGGGTAAGGGTTGGAATTACTTCAAGGGAGCCTGAGACACCCACGGAGCTCCTGCCATCCATACTGACAGAGATCCCCTGTATCTCAGATAAAAGGGACCCAACAGCCCGTTTCCCCCAAGTAAGTGAGTCACAGCTATTAAAAAGCAATGGGACAGAACCATTCATGAGATGCACAAATGTGTTTGGAGTGAATAAACTCATCTTCAGAAAGAAAAAATGAAAGGAAGACAGAGAATTTTTTTGGAGGAAAGCCCCCTCCCCAAAAAACAGAAAGCGAAAAGACGATGAGGAAAAAGCAGTACTTTAGGGAAAGGGGGGGAGATGCTGTAGGGAAGGGGTGGGGAGAACTTCGAAGTAGCAGTGGAAACAGAGAAAAGCTCAGTTGCAAATGGCCCGTCAAAAGGCCCAAATGATTTTTTTTTTAAAGGACTCTTACCTTATTTGTTGTATAGCTATCCCAAATAATTAATTTTCCATCTTGAGAAGCGCTGACTAGTAGCCTAAAGATAGACACACAAAAAAGGTAACAGGTTAACTTTGTCTCTCTGGTTGGTGTTTAAACATTGGCAATGTACAAGTATCCAGTCCTTTAGGACACTCCCTGCTGGAACACTGCCTTTTCTAAGAATTCCAGAAGGGCATTTGCCCTAGCTAGATGTTCTGCCCTTCCATCTGTGGTTATTCAAGGCAGGTACAATAGAAACCCCTACTCTGAAAGGTTATGCCCATGCCTTTTAAGCGAGGCTGAATCGGTAGAGCATATGTTCTTCAGCTCTCCATTTTACAGGGAGGCTCGTCTTAAAATGATTACCCCATTAGTCGATAGGACACTGACTTTTATTCTTAGCGGTCCCATGGCTTTGGAGTATCAGCAGAGTGTCATCAAAGATGAAGGCAACACAATAATCTTTATTTAAATTGTTTATACCCCACTTTCCTCCCTAATGGGAGACTCAACACTGTTCACCCCTCCTCAGTTTTATCCTAAGACCCCCTACCCCCCCCCTGTGAGGTAGGCTAGGATGCATGGCAACACTATACCACGCTGGCTTTGAACTTTTCAAATATTTATATCCTGTATGCATTCTCACTTGTATATGTTTTGAATTTGTATTCAGTCCCATTACAGCCATGCTTGAATAAGAATTATTCGAAACGCGGCATCAGGCATCCGGATTACGCGTCGGCTTTTTATGGCTCAGAAAATTTGATGACTTACACCTCAATTTGGACTCTGATATTTGCTTCTATTTTGGAGTAGACACATGGAAAGACTGTAGACTGTGCTTCTATTGTGCTTTATTATTGCACCTTGGCCAATTGATTCATATTATACTTGCTGTTATGCTTATATGATTATTATATACTTGCTATTTTGCTTGTGCATTTATTTTCAGTCAGCGGTGTGTTCTTTGCTGTTCCTTTATTAAAACCTTAGCAAAAATGCTCGTCCAGATGTGATGGAAGGACTCTCAAATACGACAGTCTCTCTCATTATAAGCCAGACTACTCAACGTCAGGGGTGGCTGACAAAATTTTCCTACTGCAGCTGTTCCCACAACTGTCTCCCCCACATATAATGAAAGAGAATGAAAGAGACAGAGAGACAGAGGCCAGCCTTTGAGGTCAGGGTAAAACTATCCCCTACCTGAGATAATACCAGTTTGGGGGAAGCACAGACAGCACGTTTCGCACTTCCTGGCAGTCTTGCCGACCGTTGATTGGTTACTTGGATCAGAAGGATTCACGGGCAAGCACTGAGCCACCCCACCCGCATAACCCTTTGCTCCCTTTCTTGTGAGGTTGCTAGAAGTGATCAGAAACTTGAGATCTGGCTTTTCAAGACGGAGTGGGGCCGGACCCAGCACAAAATTTCTGCTTGCGCTACACGCAGGGGTGGCCAAACTTGCTTAACGTAAGAGCCACACAGAATAAGCATCAGACATTTGAGAAGCCGCAAGACATGAAGAAATATTACATGTTTTAATTGAAAAGATGCAGATTTGCTTTTTATTAACATCAAATGAGACTGCCAAGTTTAAAAACAAAAGATGTAGAAACAGGTATTGATCATATTTATTTGTCCAATGATACTTATTTGTTTGCTAATGATATTTTATTTGTCAGAGAGAGGCGGAAAGAAAGCGGAAAGAAAGCAAATAGATGGGGGGGGAGGGGGGAAAGGTGGAAAGAAAGCAACTTTAGATGCATTCTCCAAGCCTCCCCCCCCCGCCATGCCGGCTGGCTTTGCGTTGTGCCGGCTGGCTTGGAGAAGGGGTTTAAAGAGACAAATGCCTTCTCCAAGCCGGCTGGCGGGTGGGCTTTGAGAACGCTATTAGGTAAAGTTGCTTTCTTTCTCTGCTCCCCACTCCCCACCTCAAGCCTACCGAGGGAGGGGAACACTGGCTGGGGAAGGTAAGACCGATCAGGGAGGCATGCCTCCCCCTTAGCTTCCCCAGCCACCCCTGCTGGGAGCCACACAATAGGTGTGAAAGAGCCGCATGTGGCTCCTGAGCCGCAGTTTGGCCACCCCTGTGCTAGAGCTCCCACACAGGCAGAAATGTGCGAGAAAGAGACTGCAGTAGCTGCTCGTGTCAGACTTGATGTCTCCCTGCTTGCGCAAGATCCTGTGCAACCAATTTCAGGGCACTACAAAAATGCCAGGTGGTGCACAAGATCTGGCACGAGTGGAAGTGTGCTAAGTCTGTTCATGTTTCCACACGACTGGACGTTTACCCCCACCAAACAGGATGGAACAATTTATGTCAATCTGGAAAAAGTAACTTACCGTACATTTCCGAAAATCCATTTAAAGATCAATACACGTGAATACTGTTTCCGTTTCAAAGATTTTATATAGAGCAAGAAGGGATAAAAGGCTCGCTTAAAAAAAAAAAAAAAGTAAACCCAAAGCACTCCCTGTCAAATTACTGAATCTTCGAGGCTATTTATGACTCCAGTACTATTCAGATTTCTGACTCGTTGGCTCTGTTTTACTTAATACTACATCGTTTTACTTAATTTTACACTTGTAGCCTCCTCTTCCAAGTGGTCCAACAGCATACTGACATTTTCCAATTATGAGAAAAAAAGCTCCTCCACATCATAAGCCAATCATTTGTACAAACCTTGAATCAGATCCCCAGTGCATGGCATAAATTTTAGCTAAATGGCCTCTCAGGGTACGTCTGGTGCGCATCTGAATCCGGCCCACTGAGTCAAGACTTGTGGTGATCTAGGCAAAAGGGGGGGGGGGAAGACACATCATTCAAAACAGGACGAAAGGTACAACACATCTGCTTTCACAATTGACACACCTAAGCTGAAAATGACACCGACGTGAACAATTCTGAGCCAGAGACTAAAAATGACAAGAGCAGACGCCACACGTGGTTGCAACGAAGCAGCAACTCTGACTAGGTTACTGTCGCCCCCTCTAAGGTGCCGGCAACCTCCCAGGAGCTCTGCAGTCAGATCCATTGCCCTAACAGAAAAAGAATATTATCCTGAGCGCCTGACCTGAAGTCTCTTGAGATTTATGGAGTGCCGCCCCACTGCTTTCTGTCCCCATTTATTTTGTGTACCAATAGCCCTGGCGCTGGTGCTACCAAGGGTCACTCACCAATGTGCATCCTGGACCCACACGATATCCTCAATCAAACATTTTATTTTTACTCAGAAGGGCACAAGCGTTACTGTCGCCCCCTCTAAGGTGCCGGCAACCTCCCAGGAGCTCTGCTGTCAGATCCAGAAAAACAATATTATCCTGAGCGCCTGTCCTGAAGTCTCTGAGATTTATGGAGTGCCGCCCCATTGCTTTCTGTCCCCATTTATTTTGTGTACCTACCAATGGCGCTGGTGGTACCAAGGGTCACTCACCAATGTGCATCCTGGACCCACACGATATCCTCAATCAAACATTTTATTTTTACTCAGAAGGGCACAAGCAGCCTAATTCGATCGTTTTCGAACTTTCTATCTGCATAAATATTTTTAGGGTGAAATATTTTTGACTTGACAGCATATCGGGCATCGAACAACAAAAATTTTCACTGAGTATTTCTAGGGTATATTTCAGAGCGCACCTTGCAGAAATTCTTTATAATAATGGAGACAGATCAAGATGGGCAGCCGTGTTAGTCTTTTTATGGTGCTGCTGGACCCTCACTCTTTTCTGCTGCTACAGACTCACTAACAGGATTTGTGGCAGGGTTATGAGCTTTCGTAAGTAAATACGAAGAAGCCCATAAAAAGGTAAAGGTTCCCTTGCTCGAAAGCCAGTCGAGTCCGACTCTAGGGTTGCGGTGCTCATCCCCGTTTCAAAGCTGAAGAGCCAGCGCTGTCCGAAGATGTTTCCGTGGTCACGTGGCCGGCATGACTAAACACCGAGGCCCGCGGAACGCTGTTACCTTCCCACCGAAGTGGTACCTATTTATCTACTTGCAATTTCTTGCTTTTGAACTGCTTGGTTGGCAGGAGCTGGAACTAGAGATGGGAGCTCACTCCCATCATGCGGCACCCGGATCTCAAACTGCTGAACTACTGACCTTCCACAGCCTGCAGTTCAGCATCTTAACCACTTGAGCCACCACAGCTCCTCATATTCATACCTGGCCACCGCAGCTCATACCCGACCACAAATTTTGTAAGTCTTTAAGGAGCTACTGGACCCTTAACTCTTTTCTACTTATAATAATGATGTGAGTGTGGAGGCGTGCCAGTCAAGACCCATTCATTACATGAGCGGTTTTAAAGCCCTTAGCATGGTGGTAACCAATGTTCCCTCTAAGCTGAGTTACATACCTGGCCACCGCAGCTCATACCCGACCACAAATTTTGTTAGTCTTTAAGGGGCTACTGGACCCTTACTCTTTTCTACTTATAATAATGATGTGTGTGTGGAGGCATGCCAGTCAAGACCCATTCATTACAAGAGTGGTTTTAAAGCCCTTAGCATGGTGGTAACCAATGTTCCCTCTAAACTGTGGAGTCTTGTGAGCAAAAATTCTGCTTTGTGAGCTACTGGCATTAAAGTGGTGAGCGAGCAATTTGGCTAGTGCATAAATCAGTTTGCTCTGGAGCCGTCCTTCCTGAGCGAAGACAAAAATGTGTGAGTCGGAGGCTAAAAAACTGTGAGCTAGCTCACACTAACTCAGCTTAGGGGGAACACTGGTGGTAACAGGTCCTCTGGTTATCTTAACATCATTAGATGTACACACTGATACTGGGCTGGATCCAACCAACTTTTCTGCTGGTGGAAAAGGCAGGAAGGGTTCCCTTTAACGAATCCTAAAGGTTATGCTTGGGATCCTCCTGGGACCAGCATGGACAAAAGGATGAAGGATGAGGACTCTAGGAAGGAGATTTCAATGAGAGTGAGTAGGAAAAGCCGGCTGATCCAACCCATAATTTCTGTCAACCTAAGGCCACCATTGACTGTCAATGTCTTTATATAAGCCCATGCTTAAATTCGAGGAGCGTGAACAGAATAGCTTCCCCACCGGCATCTGCTACATCTGAAGTGCCTGAGGAACCTTCCCTTTAATCATCTGCTTACACTTAATGAAAATTTTTAGAAGTCTATCACCAATCTGGTCCTTAGGGGAAAAGTTACAGTAATTTTTCCACTCCAGGCACAGAACCAATTGCCTTACAGACATTTCCCCACACACAGAATGCACAATGTACTTAAAAATGAGCATACCTGAGCAAGAGTTGTATCGCTACATGCTTTTCTGGCATCCTTTAAGACAAAAAGGAGAAAGAGTGATTGGGACGACAGGCAAGTAACGGAAAGCAATAATGCAATGTGGCTTGAACCCAGAACCTGTTTAGACACCGTACATTTACTAGAAACAACAATATTCCTAATGAAATTGCTGCTCACAGAGAAAGAGACTCCAGCTTTCCTCGCTGCCTCTGAAAGCCTACACAGTTCACCACCTACTCAGAAGCAAGGCAGATTAACTTTGTGCCACCAGTCTCACTGAATTCCCAAAGACCTATAAAGCCACATCCATTTCTCCTAGAATACACAACATGCAGCTAGAAAGCTAGTGGGTTCCGCCCCCCCTTTACCTTGCAGCTTTCCTGTGAGAAGAGAGAACACAGTGACAGGTCTAAGTTAGCCCACCTAACTAGCTCTGTGTTTATGAGAATGAGCTTAACGATAAGAAAATACACTTAAGAACTTTGGGATCTGGAACCCAGGATCAGTCGGGGTAATGGAAGAAATCCATCCATCCACAAGCAGAGACAGAGACCCATTTTATAGATATCAGCAGAACCAAATGGTAAAGCTTATCCGGAGCAGTACTGCGTCAGGCTGCAACGGAGGGTTAACAAACCTGAACACGTGAAGCTGCCTTATAGTGAACCAGACCCCTGGTCCATCAGAGTCAGTATTGTCTACTCAGACTGGCAGCAGCTCTCCAGTGTCTCAGGTGGACGTCTTTCCCATCACCTGCTGCCTGGCCCTTTGAAGTAGAGATGCCAGGGACTGAACCTGGGACCCAGTGTGTCAGTGTTGCACAGCGGTGTGGGCTTTGTGCCAGCCCACCCTCTCTCAGTCCTTTAATGTTCTACATGCACAGCGCTCCATCCATAAGAGGAATACCGTTGCTCTGCCGCCGCCACCCACCCCCAATTCAGGAAGAAGTTTCACTATAGTTTTATACATTTGTCCTAGGGATAAGGGCCGAGACATAGAACTGCGCTTCCTTGCCTGGACCCCCACATTGTTCAGGAGCTTGTCTGCCTTACAGCTCATGCAAAAAAACAAAACAAAAACATGGCAGAGAACCATGACAGACACAGCTTCCTTCCTCAGTCAATGATGGCTGCCAGTGAGATCATACCATCACCCATTTGCTTGCTCATTCCAAATCAGCAGGGTACCCAGAGCAATGGTCTTCAGAGCCACAGGTGGAGACCCTCATCTGGGTCATGAGTCATCCCCCCCCCCCAGGTTGGGTCAGAAACCCTTACAGGACTATTTTCTGCCTTTTTGGAGGCCCTGCTGTGGAGAGAACAAGGGGGCCGTATTTCCTTCTTCTCTCTGCATACGTGCTGAGCAGAGAAACAGGACCGCAAAGTGAGATCACTCAACGGTGGACAGGACTCCTCTGTAGCTCTGATCTTTGACTCGTTCCTCACCACAGTACACTTCTGGGTGCTAGCCTCACATTCCCGTTCCCAACTCCTTTAGCCAGCTACCTACATTCCTGGCCTCGACCCCTGGAAGCGTGTAACTCTGGTTCCTGTTCTTTGTGCCCCATGACCCCGACTGTCACATGCCTCCGTGTCACATGCTTGCACAGCTCAGTAGGTCCCAGGCCCTGAAAGACTGAAGACCAATGGTCTAGGTGGCCTGACTCACAGAACGAACACAGTCTCGTGTCATGGAAACCCTGCTACAGCGCTGGGGTCAAAAGGGAGGGGGAAGAAAGCTCATCCCACTGGGCTTCATTGAGGTTTATAAGGTTATGCATGGGATAGAGCAGGTAGAGAAAGAGGTACTTCTCTCCCTTTCTCACAATACAAGGACTCGTGGGCACTCCATGGAATTGCTGAGCGGTCGGGTTAGAACGGATAAAAGGAAGTACTTCTTCACCCAAAGAGTGATTAACAGATGGAATTCACTGCCACAGGAAGTGGTGGCAGCTACAAGCATGGACGGCTTCAAGAGGGAATTGGATAAACATGGTGCTTGGGGGGGTCAACAGTGGGAGGGCTTCTAATGTCCTGGCCCCACTGGTGGACCTCCTGATGGCACTTGGTATTTCTGGCCACTGTGTGACACAGAGTGTTGGACTGGATGGGCCTTTGGCCTGATCCAACATTGGCGTCTCTTATGTTCTTATCTCCATCCTGGGGCTTCAAACCCATGACAGGGCCTAGGCAAAGGGGCTCTGAGGACCACCCGGGATTATCACCGGCCTCCAAGGACACCCAGCGCTGTTCTCTGAGAGTTCCAAGAACAAAGGGTCCCTCACCCACCACACAAAGAGTCTGCAACAGACAGCAGGGAAATAATGCCAGCCCTTTTTGTTTGTTTTTGTTTACGGTCTGTCCTCAGAAACCCAAGGCAGATTACAAGTACGATAACAAAAACAAAAATCTTTTCAGTCGCATCAGTAAGCAGACTGCAAGATAGGGTAACGTTTGAACCAAAGACTTTTCATCCCCGGTAAAAGGCACCTCCTTCTGAGCCGGACCGTCACACCACAGCTTTGCTCCTTCTATAAGAAAGGCACCCTGAGCTACTCTGTTTTGCACGTTTTGGGGAAACAACAAACGAGCGGGGGGGCTCCCTAAAGCCCCCGGCAGGCCACTCCAGAATATAGGAGCCCCCACAGAGAATGCGTGCGAATGGGTAGCTGCCGATTTCACCTGTTTGCAGGGTGGCACCTTCTTTCTGCCTTCCCCTCCCAGGTATTTCTGCTTGGGATCCCCAGTTATTACTATCTAGGATCAGGCACCAAGAAAACAGGTGAAGAAAACGCCTTACTCTGATTTGATTCCGAAGCTGTTCCGCCTCCTGCCGCAACTGTTCCAGTTCACTCATCCTCTTGAATGTGCTTCTTTCCCACCGTTACAACACTGACGAAAAGAAGCCTGCTGAGAAATGCGGGGAAGGGGAGGGGGGAAACAACAACTGTAATTGTGCTGATGCTACAACCTTCACTTTCCAACCAGGGCCTGGCCTTCGCTTTCGAACACACAACAGAAATCCGGAAGATGAAATTTTAAGAGCGCCGATTTTAGTGAGCGGAACTGTCATCTACGCTCCTGTTCCAACTCTGCTTATCTGGCCCTCGGGATTCTTTGTATAAAAAGACACTCAACATTCATGTAGCACATTTCAAGTGTTCGGCAGGCTTCGCTTGCATTGTGTCAGCATTCCTTACAACAAAGGAAGGCCAGTATTTATCCCATGTTGCGGAGAGAACAGCTCCCCTAGCCACCTGGGGAGCTGACAGCCAAGGCGCGATTTCAGCATACTCTTTGCAGATACCTATGACAACTGATTCCGACAAGGAAGCCACGAGGATAGGATGTTTCGGAGGACATTAATTCACAGGGTCGACATAAATCAGAAGCGACTTGATGGCACTTTAACACACACACACACACAAAACAGATCTAACGCAACAGAAAGGGAAATGTCTGATTCTGGTATGAGACAGAGACACTGTTTCTTCCTCCCCTCCCTATAAAAAAAGCGTTTATCCCTCCATTTGCCTTGAAAAACTAAAGATGAATTTGCAGAAAGTGTAAAGGGGCCTGGCTGTCACCTTAAGATGCAAATACAGAGAACCATCAGGGTGGTTCAAAGACCCTCCGGTATAACCAGGCAAGCATCGATCAGCGCTGTAAAACCCACTGCGAAATTTTAAAACCCAGTGTGAAGCTCTACGGAGAGCCCAACGGAGATGACAAGAGAGCAGACAAAAAACACGGCAACCGCGTTGGGAGTGTTCTGAAAAGGCTACAAGCGACAGAGGAGGACTGGAAGTATCACCAGGCACAGCACATTCCACTCAAGAGACATTTCTGTCTGTATGCTTCTGGTGTGACTCTGCAGCTCGGTGCTCCATGGGATCAGGCTGAAGGAACCCTCGTCCAGTGCTGTGCCACATGGGGTGTCTTGATGCAAGCAGTACTAAGCAACCTCTGCCATGAGCATTAGTGCGGCAGCTGCCACCTTCGCCCCTGTACAGTGCAAATGAGCTCTGGAAGGGGCCTGGGGTGTGCCGCTCGGGAGGGAGGGAGGGAGGCAACGAGAGAATCCTATGCAATCTGCAGAATCATACAAGGGGCGCAGCACCAAGGCAGGTAGTTCACTTCTGCAAGGAACTGCGGCAGCCCAGATGCCATAGCTGTTGCTTTCCCGCTCTTTGCAGCTGCACAGATGTGGGGGGAGGGGGGGAGATGTTGCAAACATCTTGGTGGCAGCTGTCTTCCAGACACTCTTGCCAGGCATTGAAAGCTCCCTTATTAAAGTCCAACAAGGCACGATGGAGAGAGACCTGTGATTTGGAACAAGTGGGTGAGGAGGGTGAATTTCACGCACTACGGGGAAAGATGGGAGAGAGCACGGATCCTTCCCCCCAACTCCATTTTCCACCTGAAAAGCTCCTTTCCTTCGCTGCTTTCCTCCACGTTGGGACTCCAAAGACCAAAAATAAGCCCAGGCTAGGGAAGACAGAGAAATGAGGAGGAGCAAACAATGAGGAATTCAGCCATCCCATGTCACACCTGAAGCTGCTTTGCCTGCATCATGCTTGCTCGGTGACGGCCTGCACTTTAACACGCAGGGGCTGTAATACCCCTGGGTTGGGTCTTGATTTGATCCTTTGACCTCTCTGCCAGACTCATTCTCAGCCAAAGCTTTCAAAGATGAGAGCAAAAAGTGAGCCAAAAACACACATCCCCCTATATCTATCTCTGTCTCTATCAAAGCAAACAAGTACTCTATTCAAGAAGAGGGGGCACTCCCAGAAGGTTAAAAAAAACAAAGAGGGATGGGGGCGTGGCTAGTGCCCAAGATAGCATCTGACATGTTCAACTGTGTTTTGATGGGAAAATATCCAGTAGGAGTATCCTTGAAGAAGTCAGAAATCTTCCAAAAGAGACTTGCAGTAGAATTCCCCCCCCCCCCCCCCCCCCACTGCCACCCCTTTGACAAATCTAGCCTGGAAAATTTTGAAGAAGTTTCAGCTTGTAAAGACAATTGCAGCAGGAAATTTCTGAATAAGAACTTCTCAGCTCATAAGACCAGGGGTCTGCCGACATATGGCTTCAGAGCCAAATTTAGCTCTTCAAAAAAGGACAATGAAATCTTTAGGTTTAAAGTATATGGGGAAGGTAGGTGGAATGCTGGAATATCATCTGCTGATAATCCAAGACCAAACCATGCATATATTTATATCAGTGCACTGAAACAATCGTACGAGGTGCTTATGTGTGTATCTATTACTTAGATTTTTGTGTGTCACTTCCTAATAAAAGATTTATGGTTTATTAATCAACATGCTAATTATCAGTAATGTTAAACAGCATATTTGCAGGAGCAGGCGGCTCCTACCTGGTGGAATGAGCTCCCAGAAGAGATCCGGGCCCTGCGGGACCTTGGGCAGTTCTGCAGATCACACCACCTACTCATCCCAAAAAAAATCTAGAGAGAGTAGACAGAGCATGTCTTGCTGAAGCCACTGCAGGGGAATGATGTTGTTTGAACGAGCACAGTGTAACTATTAAAATTAATCCACCTAGAAGGGTCCATATCAGGATGTAAACAAGAGATGGAATTTATTTATTTTTTAGTAAATCTGCTCACTTCTTTTACACTTGGAAAAATCACTTCACTAATCCAGAATTAAGGTTCAATAGATACCTTTACAACAAAACTGAAAATGAATAAATAATGCAGCTATACAGAAGTGTTATCTGGGGGCCAGTGTTCCCTCTAAGCTGAGTGAGTGTGAGCTACCTCACAGTTTTTTTAGCCTCTGGTTCACACATTTTTGTGTTCAATCAGGAAGGGTGGCTCCAGAGATAAATACCGTATTTTCCGGCGTATAAGACGACTGGGCGTATAAGACGACCCCCAACTTTTCCAGTTAAAATATAGAGTTTGGGATATACTTGCCCAGAGACTGTATTTACCGGCATATAAGACGACCCCCCCATTTCTGAGAAGATTTCCCTGGGTTAAAAAGTAGTCTTATACACCAGAAAATACAGTACTTATTTTATTTAAATATCTGTGTCCCACCTTTCCGAGTTAATCAAATGTGTTCGCTTTATTGATCTCTTGTGAATTTTTGATGTAGTTTGCTCTTTAATTATAAAATTAAAATATAAAAATTATATTAAATTATACAATTATAAAAGGTTGCTGACTCCTGGGTTGATAGTACTGGCCAGCAGCTCAACTGGTTTGATAGTTCTCTCAGTGTCCATGGGTGTTAAATTACTTAAGACAGTACATGAATTTTGTGTTATCAGCAATTGCAACTGTTGCAAACGATCACTGATTATCTGTATATGTCTGCATAGAAACATCACAAACTAACAGTGCAATCTTACACAGAGTTACATCTAAATCTAACCTTCTAAATCTATTGAAGTCAAGGGGCTTAGAATGGTATAACTGTTTAGAAGAAAAAGAAGAGAAGAGATTGGATTTATACCCCGCCCTTCACTACCCAAGTGAGTCTCAGAGCGGCTTACAAACTCCTTTCCCTTCCCCTCACCACAACAGACCCTGTGAGGTGGGTGGGGCTGAGAGAGCTCTTGACAGAAACTGGTCTCTTTCAAGGACAGCTCTTATCAGAACTATGGCTTGCCCAAGGTCATCCAGCAGGTGCAAGTGGAGAAGTGGGGAATCAAACCCGGTTCTCCCAGATTAGAGTCCGTGCACTTAACCACTACACTAAACCGGCTCAGGATGGCTTTAGGATTGCCCTGTAAGTTTACTAAACCCACTCTTCAATTTCCCTCTTCCTTCTTTGTACAAAAATCATACTGACTGCAAATTCTTAAAACCTTGTGATACTATAAATTTGTTAGTGATCTTTCTTTGGAATACACCAAAGACAAGAACCTGAGAGGCCTAGACAAAATCCTGTGAACTCATTACCCCAATATTTTTTAAATGCTCTGGAGCACTTCACATTTTGTATTCTTCTTGACAAGTATACAAATGTAAAAACTTTTCATTGTCCCTCTTTGTATTATTCAATGTGGGTTGGATCCACACCGCTGCTGTGCCACTGGAACAATGCAGATTGGGGGGGGGGGAGGAGCCTGTGCCTCACTCTGTCCTGCAGCAGCCCCGTCCCTGGAAGGGTCAAAGGATCTTTGGGAACAGCCTGATATGCAAAGTGGGCGATCACCAGGGGAACCCGATAGTCAGCAAAAAATTGTGTTATGGCAGCAGCTCCTTTGGACCCAACCTTGTGTCCTAGTAAACCCTGGCAAAATTATGAAACTGACTAAAGGATGGAAGACAGTCTAACTCAATGTTTACTACTGCTTGAGAACCCTTCATCCATTTTGGAAATCTACTTCCAATTCACAGATTGAAGTCCGTAATTGTTTTTCTCTTCTCTAACTTTGCAATCTTTGTCCTTGTGTTCTTAACTGCAAATTGTAATTTGGAAACATAAAAAGTAATAAATAAAAAAAGAGTCAAAGCTTTTATATCATGCATCAGCCTTATGCTGAAAAGCACGTTAGGGAGAAAACGAATGCACCATTAAAAAAAATCTAATCAAAATAAACAGCCGTTCATGTCTATGAAGAAACACAAAATCATCATAACATGGATAAAACACAGATCTCCCCTAAATTCACAAACATATCAGGAGACCAGATGCATTTCGACAGCAAAATCTTCATCTGTAGTCAAGCAAATAGTTGTTTAATACGAGGTTACCACTACCTCCTAACTCCACAAATCTGTCCGCACAATTTACAGAGATCATATAAATTTCACACAACATACATTATGATCCACAGAACTAGCCCCCCCCATTTTTTTTAAAGCATGGATGACTCATTAGACCATACCCAGCTTGTATTCAGAACGAAGGTACTCCTAACATTAC